AGGCAACGATCGAGCTTGCGGAGGGCGTTCTCGTGCGCGCGCGCTTGGCGCCGGGTTGCTGGTTCTGGCTGGTGGAGGTAGGGACGCCTGCCGCCTCCTGGCTACTGTCGGATCGAGTAGCCTTGTACAGAGTGTCCGATGCTTTCTGGCCGGCCTTCCGGATCCGAGCCCGCTCCTTTCGACCGGGAAGGGAGACGACGCCGTTTACGACCGAGGGCCTCGCTGGGCAGTCTGTGTGGCCGGCTTGGAAGGGGCCGCAGCAGTTGGGACACTGGGGCCTGGCCATGCAAGGTCCCGTTTCGTGTGAGTCGGAAGGTCTTCCGCAGTTGCTGCAAGTCGGTCGTCGTCCGCAGAACCGGTTGGCGTGGTAGCCCTGGCAGCCGGGGTCATGTCGGATGAGCGTCCTTCGTTTTTTGATGGGCAGAGATCTGCCGCTTTGGTTGAAGAGCCTGAAGGGCGTGACCTCTGATGTGAATGATATGAGCCAAGATATTTCGTTCGTGACTGGGTTGGGCCCAAGGCGGGACGGTCGAGCAAGGACAGGCTTCTGTCCTGTCTGTGCGAAGACCTCATCTTCAACGAGTGTGGCTGGGTCCAGGACGTCCCCGCCAATGCTGTGTAGTTTTGTTGGGCATCGCGGCACAACGTATGTGTGCCACTTGATAGGCGTCTCGACTTGGTGGGCGCCGAGGCATTCCGCCAGCTTTGCCTTACTTGTAAGTAGTCTTTCCTGTATTTGCTTGTTTCGCGGCTTCAGAGAGTAACCTGTGCTGATATGGTAGACGTGGGGAAGGTCCGCTAGCCCCAGGCCAACGGCCTTACAGACGATCTGTCGTACGGCGAACGGTGCGATCTTCCGAGCGGCCGCTAAGCTTTCTTCCGGGACGCGGGCAAAGATGCGGAGGTCCTCCTTCGGCTGCGCCTGCGGCTGATCCTCGGCGGGGAGTGTGGCCTTCGGGCGGGCAGAGCTCTGGCAGCTCTGGCCGCTCCGGGTCGCCGCAGTGGTGTTGCCCGCCATCGGTGCGACGACAGCCGCCCAACTCCGGGCCGCTATTGGGCTTGTCTCGTGATTGATCAGTCTCTTGAGGGTTTGAATGACATAGGCAGTGGCTTCTTTCGCGATCTGCTTTCTAGAACCGTCAAAGCTGGCGACAACGCTGTCGACGGACCGTGCAATGGTCAGAAAGACGTCTTTCCGTGCCTCGTACTGTCTAGCTTCTTCTGCAAGGGCTGTCAAGACGGACCCTGTGGCAGATCCGCTCGGAGCAGATGCGGTAGAGGCTGCGGGCCCCTCGGCCGAGGTAGGGGCGTCGGTGGTGGCATCAAGCTGGCTTCCCGTTAGGCTGGGCCGGGTCGGCTGTGCCTCGGCGTCGCGGCGTCGCTTAGCTCTTGAGGTGGGGTTCGGCTCCGGAGGTGTCCCGGAGCCTGGTTCGGGGTCGGCTTGGTCGGCCGACATCAGTCCGGTGCCCGACGGCGGCTGTGAGGCCATCGCGGATGCGGGCTCCGGCAAGGGGAGGTGAAGAGTTTTCGGCTGTTAGTAATTTGGTGGTAGGCTCACTCATTCACTAACAGCAGATGCCAAGAAAAATTAGGCGAGAGGGAAGTTGTGGCAGTCAAGTAGGAAATGGCATTTACCTAGGTAAGAACAAGAATAGCTCACACCAACTCAAACGAGTTATATCTAGGTACTTTGGAGCTAACTTAGCCATAGGGTCCGAACCTGCGGGATGGCGAGGCTCGCCGATCAAGAAGAACTGGTACTGCGTTTTCAAAGCAGACGAGGCCCGCTTTAATGCAGCCTCCAAACTCTGGATCCCGCAATTCTACACAAGCAAGAGTTTCTGGGGAAGCTCGAAGCCCAAGGAGCTCTGGGGCTATGGCGAGAAATTAATCGCTAAGTACATTGCAAAGTTCGGCTTCAGTGCGAGTTCAACACTTCGCTTCTCGTACATCGAGGCACATGGGCGCACGCTGCAAATGGTCATTCCCACCAAAATGGCCAACGCTGACACTCTGGACATTTACGCCAAGTGCTTTGAGACCAAGTCTGAGCTAATTGCTTATGAGAGCGAGTCCGTCAACTTCTGGGATTGGGCCATTAAGGGGGATCCTGGAAACCCTGGCTAATGCCGAGATGGTTCTGATGGCACATTAGGAAAGACGGTTTCGACGGAAGCATTTTGCGGCATCGCAAGTAATTACTTAGCTACCATCCTCTATAGACATTTATGGTACATAATCCTGCGCTCAGACTGGATCTTTCGATTGAGGTGCACTTACTCTATTCGTATTTCTCTCAACTTTCATTCGCTTGACAATTCAATACCTCAACTGCACGGGCTGCCTTTCGTCCAATTCATAGGAGTGTCTATTATGGAACCTATATCTGCTTCGAAGCATTCATCTCTGGCTCAGTGCAGCCTCAATTTTAGCCCAATACTTTTTCCTCAGCATTCCCTGGATCCAGTAATCTCCCTTGGCATCGCGGCCCAAGATCGTAAATATACTCATCAGAAATGCAGGAGTACCTGCCGTGATTAAGTGCATGTGAACGCCAGTCGGCTTTGTTACCACACGAGGAGCAACAGCAGCATCCGTGTGAAGAGCGACAGACGAACGTGACGCATGCTCAGTCTCCCAGAGTCCATCACATCCCATGGCGCTCTTCATTGCAGTGCCACTGTCAGTGCCAGCATCCTTGGATGAAGTCTCCGATAGACAAGCACGCTCATTTTCGAAGAGCCCATCACAACCAATCTCGTCAACCACCGCGACGGAGAAGTCAACGTTGAAGAACTCGGCTTTGGTCCAGTTAGTACACACAACCATGTGCATGCCCGCATCGCCGAAGAGAGCAGGCAGTCCAGCTTTGCCGTTGCCCGGCTTTTTCTTGTTGGCGTTCTTATCAACCTCCTCCCCATGTGCACGCCGCTGCAGTGCTAAGAGAGCTTCAACCTGCGGCCTCGTGCTCAGCTGCGCGATAGCCTCTCTCAGTGCCTTTGCAACACGGCCAAAGCCCAGTGGACCTTTTCTAACAAGATCTCGCGTGGGCAGTAGGGCAGGAATAGGCAAGATTGCGTTACCAACCAGTGCACCTTTCTCGGGCAATCGTCCTGCTTGTGCCAGAACGCCACGCAGACCCATCATGTTTAGGACAGCAATGGTTTTGCGGCTCTTGGTGGGATTGCGAATGCGCGAGTTGATGATGTTGCGTGTCCACCATGAACAAAGCACATCGCCATCACTCAGAAACGTGGCATTCGGAGTAAATTGAGACTTATGGCCCTTCTCCAGCTTTTGAAGGCTGGACAAACCAGCAGTCTCGGCGTTGAGAGCTTGTAGTGCGTCTTTGCGCAAAGACTTGACATATGCTGCGGGCACACATACTGTCCTGAACTCTTCAAGCGCGTTTCTGTTTAGAAGCTTGTCGATTGCTTGCCGAAGACCTAGCGTAACGAGTTGAACAACTCCAAGTTGTCTTTTGATGTGCTGGTATTGCTCGGGAGGGAAAGTGGATGCTGCTGACTTGCTTGCGTCGTCCTTTGATATCGTCTTGGATGACTCAGGTGAGGTACCGAAAGATCCAAGAGGATCGGTCCCAATCAACGGGATGACCTCGCCATGGCGTCCCTGTAGAGTGAGAGACCATGCGTCAAAGAGATCTTTAAGCCCCATGCAGTCCCACATGATGTGAGAGAAGCCTACTGATACCAAAGTCGCGTCGTTGAACGTGGTGACTTGCAGGCCTATCATCGGTTTATCGCGATAGACGTAGTCTTCAAAACAAGTAGGATCACTTGGATGTCGCATCAAAGGAGAGAAGTCCACACCATTGCCTGACTCCACCATCCAAGGAATAGAACCGTCATTGGAACCAGTAGAATTTGATGGAACTCTGTTTCGAAGTCGGGATGCTAATGGATGCTGCTTGATGCTGATGTTGTTGTGACGGTTGTGACGAAAGGTGATGGCAGGCCGCTTCTCAGTGTATGTATCAGGCACATGCCAATACAGCTTATTCGAAGGCTGTGGATTCAAGTCAGTCAAGCGCATCATAGGGGAAAACTCGTGTCTTTACAGGGGACTTACACCCAACCGCACCCTCGCACCTAGCCTGCGCCAGCCATCTCGACGGTCGAGCAAGCTTTCAAGAGCTCTTCGTAGTTTGGCTGCATCAAGCTGGCGGTCGAAACGGAGCATTACGTTGAGGACAGCATCGCGAGAGTGATGGTCCCAGTAGTCGACCGGGATAATCTTATCGGTCAATACTGCGGGCGGAGCCAATCTCGTCACTTTGCGTCGAAAAATAGACATCTTTCCGCACACTGACTGCGGACGAAGGCCTCAAGCTTCAACTGTAGAGCGTCAAGAACGAAGAAGCCACGCAAATGAAGCGCTGTCTTCTTGATCACCTCAATTTGGACAGCCGTGGCCGAGGTGAGAGGCACAGTTGGAATTGGAACCAGATGACTGTATGGTGAACAGGGGCACTGCGACTTGTCTTGCGAGCGCTCCAATCGGCGCGTACCCTGTGGGCTCCGAGATCTGGAAGGGGACGAAGGATCTAGTTGCATCTTCAGCGGCCCGGGCTCATCCTTCATGCAAGGTGAGGTAGCATTGGTGAACCCCCACAATCTTGTTGATCACTGAATTGCCGTGTAAGCGGACAGTGTGAATCCATTAGAACCTAGAGAAGGGCGAAGGATCCCACGCTGGCAGCTTGGCGAATAGAGCTTCCGGAGATCCTTGTCTTGTTCCAGATGTCGTAACCCCACACCGAGCTCGTAGTTCAGACGAACACGACCCGTGCCGAGACGGAGACGACCTCCGTCGGCCGTTGACTAGATCATACAGAAGATAAGACTACCAAGTGGATGAGAGACAAACTAGGGACATGGCGCTAAAGGATTAGATGCTCCACCTGGCTAGATCCTGACTCCGTATTCATTGAAGTCTCCGTTCCATCAGGCTTACGATAGTGAGGCCAGGCCCAAACAAGCATGTGAGAGCGATATTCCAAGACACTTCTCTACCAATCGACCAAGTGTCCCCCTTTACCCGCATCGTGGGCTGAAGAAATGTTACCCAAGCTAATGCCGCGGCAGTGCCGATGTAATAGTCATATCGGAGAAAGTTGAATGCGCCTTCTGTCATCCCACTAATCTGGGTCTCACTATCCCACCTCTGCGGCAGGAAGAACTCGGCAGGTCGCAGCTGCGCCTGTGGCGAATCTTGTGTAGGCTCCAGCTTGCCAATGGCAGCGGAGACAATAGGTATGAGACCCAAGACATGGATCAAAGCCGAGACTACGGCGGTAGATTTGTACAGTCTTCGAAGAGCTGAGGTATTACGGCTGGGTTCGCTATCCTCGGCAGTGCATTCTTCCAACTTTCGTGCCGGGATGGCTCCCCCCCAAGACATGGCAACCACCTGGACTAAGGCCATCCACGCTGGGAAGTTCTGCCAGACAGCTACAGCGACCTGTCGTGACTGACCAGAGAGATGGTAGCTTGGCAGACACATAATCGCCGACGGGATCAAAAGTCCGATCAGCACTGATGCCGGGACAGCTTTAATGGCAGCCATGGTCGGTAGCCTTGAGTGACTCCTAGGTGGCTGGGAGAGCAGGGACACGTAACAGTATATGGGCATGATGATGAAGTACCCGGCATACTGTATGGCAAGGCCCCAGAGTGCGAAAGGAATGAGATCCCTTGCGCGTCGCGTTCGTAAGCTTTCGACTAGCATGACAGTGAAGACGGCTATGAGAAGCCCCATCCAGTGCCACCCTAAGAGGGACAAAGACTGGGACGAGCCATCGACTGTAGGGATAATGCTGAACTGCAGGTTGGCGAGATACGAGTCCAGGGGCGGGACCCCGGTATAGACTGTCAGGAGGGGTGTCTTGTTGTCTGGGAGTAAGGGCATTGCCGATGCTCGCCTATCGGTGAATAGCTGAGCGTGGCCAGAGTTAATCATGAGATTTGAGACCGCGTAGAGTCCAGCCAGAGTGATGAACGGAAATACAATGTGTATCGATGATGGAGCCATGATGGTGGTGTTACTTGTCGATCAAGTCCTAAAGTAAGGAAGTATGGTGTGAGCAGGAGCCTGGACAATGATGTTGATGCAGAAGCTTCGAGATAGCTAAGCATAGGACACACAAATCAACGTTTATGTAGTAAGAGAATCAGCTTACTCTTGAGACATGGTTCAATACATGGCCTAGTCTACCAGTCTAACGCCGTCACCGCCTAAGACATACTTGTGGCTTGCTTGATCCTGCAAGGATACCCGTTGTTGGGCTTAGTGCTTCCATGGATGATCTGATAGGCACGATCCCCTGCTACTTTTGTGGGACCTGTCCTGCCCATCGTCTTGTTGAACTCGGCGTAAGCATCCGCAAAGTCAAAGTCCCGCAGCACCATAGCCAAGATCACTTTCACCTCCAGTAAGGCTAGTTCCTGGCCGATGCAGTTTCGCGGCCCTCGCTCAAACGGCCGCCACGCCTCCTTATCCGCGGGGTACAGCTCGTCACCAGGAGAGGCCAGCCAGCGTTCCGGGACGAAATCGTCCGGCCTCACCCAGTGCTCTGGTGCTCGATGGATAGCGTGATGCACACCCCAAAGCATGAAACCTTCAAGATTCGTCTTGTCAGTTTCCGATACCGTGAAGCCTGGTCCAGACGCACGCGTGCTGGACACGGGTGGGTACAGCCGGAGAGCCTCCTTGATAACGGCCGATGTATACGCCAGTCGATTGAGGAGCTGAGGGGCCTCGGCGATGCGATTTCCAGTCTTCTGTACGGTACTATTGACTCCGAAGACATCGTTGTGCTCTTGGCGCGCTCTTGACAGGGCAGATGGGTGAAGCGAAAGGAGATGGATAGAATAGACCACCGCGGCGGCTGTCGTGTCATAGCCAGCGAAGAGAAAGAGCTTCATCTGTGAGACGGCGTATTGCTTGAAGGTCGGATCCATAGTCATCTTCTGGCCAGCATTTCCATTGTTCTTTTCCGAGAGTAGATATGTTTCCAGGGCCAGGTCGACGACTGCCTTGCTTCTTCTTGGGACTGTCGTTGTCTTCTCGGATCCGGAATCTCCAAGCTGCGCCTGAGATCGCATTGCCGCGAAGTGCGTCTCCAGCTCGCTCGAGACATACCTATCCATCCTCCATCGATTGTAGCGATAGACAAAGTGCCTTATCGGGTTGAACTTTCTGAAGAGATTTGTCTCATTGGGAGATGGTATCCAGTCGGCTTGGCTGCGAAATGCTGACACAAGATCACAGCCCTGCCTCTGGGCGTTCAAACGAGAACCTCTGCAGTATTGAGTTAGGATTATTGTTGGGACACCTGCAATGTTTTGCTTCAGAGACTTCGGACTCACAATGTTGCGAGACAACTCATGTCCATAGTCAACCGTGACATAGTCTCAAACAATGAGAAGACCTCGCCGGCAGCTGCTCTCTCTCGCAGGATCTCATGCAACACCAGCGTGTTTTCAACGAGACCTGGTACCAGAGTCACAAGATGCGCGGCGTTGAATCCAGGATTGAACACACCCCGCCAGTACCGCCACTCATCTCCCTCCATCGTGACGAGACCGTGGCTTCCGATGAGAGGCTTCAGGAATCCCAACACGCCCTCATGTTTGGGAAGTTGCGGCTCATGCGCCGTCACTCGAGCCTGATCGTGACTTGTGGTTATCACCATCAATGGTGGACCGGTCGGCCACAGATCCAGGTAGAAGACGGCCGGGAGGTCAGGATACTCTCGCCTGATTTCTCCCGCTAGGTAGTGCCCGTGAAAATCGCTTGGAAGAGTTTTCGCGATCTTAGCCGCAAGCCCTAGATGACCGAGCAGGAAATCATGAGGGGGCATCGGCAAGCCTTGTCGTTGGAGGCGCTGGAACATGCGGCGATGGTTAATGAGCTTGACGAGGAAGCGCACTATGAGGATAGCTGCGACTAAGGCGGTGCCTTGCGCAAAGGTCCAGGCATGAAGCCTCGACAATCCCGCGATGCCATACTGTTCTTGCCAATGTTCGACTGTTGAGTTCATCGTGAGTATCGCACGAACAAACCCACGTTTTGAAATCGCTGTATCGGCTATTGACGTTATTCAGAACCCTGAGCCTTGAACGTGACTGCCAGACTTCACTGCCGACGAGAGAAGAGAAAGAGATCACATGCCAGAGCAACTCACTCTCTCATCGAGTTGCAAAGAATCCCATCACATCATGCAAGGCAATGGCTTTCACGACAGTCTTTCCGCATTCAACTAGCTGAATGTCACACCGTGCCAAAAGACGCGAAATTTTGATCTTTTCGGTCAATTGTGAGCACTAAGCTAGAATTGGGTCTTCCGTAGGATTCCCGTTGGCCCGCTGGGAAGGATTTCCCGCCGCTGGTGGCGTTGTAATCCTACCACTAGTGCCGGATCCTTCACCCCTGCAGAGACTAGAAGAGTGTTGCAGACTACCAGCCTCACTTCTTGGCCCTTAGCTTGGATTCTCACATCATCCTGTTTAGGTGGGCTTCTTGTTGCTCGGCATAAACCTTTCGGGAGTCTGGATTCATGGACAACTCGCCCCGGTAGCGGGGCTTTGTGTCAATTGAGCAATCATCTCAGACATGATGCCAGAGGGACCAGCTCGGTAAGAACTTGACTAAAGCAGTCTTAGGCAGAAACGTTTCATTCGGAGGATCAAGGAACGATGGCGGGGCGAGTGCGATATTGTAGCAAGACCAAGGCTCGGTGGAGAGCAATGTCACATCTGGTAAGTGTGGTCAAGGACGCAGACTGACTGACGTTGCAGTCCACATGAACAAGATGGAAAGTGAAGCCAAGCGCAGGACAGCCATTGTTAGCTTGTAGACTCCAATTCTATCCAATTCTAAAAATCAGGCACCCAGTGACTTTCGCTTTTATCGGCAGTTCTTGTAGTGAGAACAGTTCTTCTTGGTTCTCATAAGTTCATGTCTAGACAATTCCATCGTCTAGCATGATCTACCGAAGTACGCAAGAAGAAGAGCAAACATGGTCAGGAATGAAGTAAACATCCACATCGCTTGCCGATATCGATAATTCCTTAAGCCTTTCTCTTGAGTTCCAGCCTCCGTGTACGCAATATCCCAGTGCTGCCATATCGGATGTCTACACATCCACCCAAAATGAATTTGGTTGAAGCTTTCGAGATGCCGGGTCATTAGTTTCTCTTCTGAAGCAATTGGAAAATTGGGAGGAAGATGATCGCGTAACTTACGGGCATATCGAGCTATTCCAGCCATCAATCTGTATATAGCCATTGTGACATGTCTGCCAGACTTTGTCTAGCGATCTTCTCTGCACATCAGCCGTATAACTTTGCTCAGCCTCCAGCTGGACTTCAACTGTGCGGGCCTGTCCACTTAGAACAAGCTTGAGGAAGTTCAGAGCATATCCTGCCACATTTTCACTTGCCAGAATGGCCGACGAGTGACCGCTGACGGAGTTTGGTCCCAGAACCATGAAAAAGTTGGGGAATCCGTGAACTGCTGTGCTGAGGTACGCACCAGGGCCTCCATTTGCCTGCCAGACGTCGTGAAGGAGTGCCCCGTCTCTTCCTTGGACCTTCAAGCGATGGAGGTAAGTCGAAGTCTCGAAGCCATTCGCCAAGAGAATGACATCTGCGGGCTTTAGGATGGTTTCACAGTGGCGTTTCTCGTTGTTGGAAGCTGAGCTCCGCCCTTCTGGTCGAGGACCCAAGACAACACCCTGTGGTTCGATTGAAACCAGAGGTCTGTTCGTAAGTTCCACGTTGGGGAGACTCAGGCTTTCCAACCACCCACCATCGACAATGATCCGCCGACACCCAACGCCGAAATGCGGTGTGAGCATATCGTGGTATTCAGGTGGCACCGTCTTCCGCAGGTGAGTGGAGAGTCTTTTCTCAAACCACTGTCGACGCTTCTTGCCGAACCAGCCCGTGCCGACATTGAGCCATGTCGATTCAGCGTACAGGAAGAGGCAAAGCCGAAGAAACAAGCCAAGTCCAGGTATGGTCCTAAGCAACGTGGAAACAACCTCCATCAAACGCGGAGGAGGTTTTTCAGGGCGAGCCATCACCCACGGTGGTCCTCTCATGAGTTGCGTGATTGACTTTGCAGCAATCTCTGGGCTTGCCAGTGCCGGAACTAGCTGCGCTGCAGTGCAGCCTGTCCCGATTACGACAACATCTTTTCCTGTCAGAGAAACATCGTCTTTCCACTGCGCGGTGTGAAAGACCTGTCCTTGGAAAGACTCAATTCCTGGGATATGCTGCGGCCATATATTGGGCTCGACAAGTTCGCCGGCGCATGTGACTAGGACCTTACACCGAAGGGCCACTTCTTCTGAAGTCTTGTCTTGAGGATTCAGACAGGTCACCTTGACTTCCCACTCGGCATCTTCGTCAATCCAACGAGCACTTGACACCTCAGTGTTGAGCTGGATGTTGCTTCGGATATCAAACTTGTCGCAGACACCGTCCAAGTACTGCTGGATCTCCTGGCCTGGAGGGAACAAGGTGGTCCACTCATAGTTTGGGGCGAAAGAATATGAGTAGAAAATCGCCGGGCTGTATCAACAGTCAGATCCGACGTCACGATCAGAAAAGGCCAATCATCTCGGCCTCCTGACACACTGATCTCACTTACATATCGCAAGCTACGCCCGGGTATCTGTTGGCAAACCATGCCCCTCCAACACCGCTCTGTCTGTCGAATATCCGAAAGTCGTCGGTGCCCAGCTTGGTCTTGAGCATACAACCCACGGCGATTCCAGATTCTCCTGCGCCAATGACGATAGCTGAGTACCGATTTCGCATTTTGATTGAATCTGGGATTTACCTCTTCGCCCTCTGGATTTTCTTCGGACTCGTCCAACAAATTATGGCAACGATGTGATGATTCTTCCTTCCTTCACTTCGGAGGTCACCTCCGTTAGCCCAGCTTTGCGTTATCTGGGCCTATGGATCATCGACACTCCGGAATACCCCAAATCAGTGCTAGGCCCTGCAGCCCTAGGCTGACACGGTGCAACCCAACATTATTATGGCGCGATGGACTCTGCGGGTCCATTTGCCTGTGCTCACAGTGCTTATGCCAAGTATCGTGATTGTGAATGCAGGGTTGCAGACTAGTCTCATTATCTTAGGCAGCAGAACTACCAGCACAGCCGCTGACACTAACTAGCAAGTGTATCCATTATACATATCCACATGTGAACCCATGTCATCTACTATCTTGGTAGACATCGTTACATCGACAGCATTTAGCGATTGCTTGCACCGTGCAAGTCTCGCCTCCTCTACCAGGATTACCAAGTCCAGAACCACTCCCATGGATCATCTCAAGTACGTATGACAGAGGCGGATCGGATTTTCGGCAAGTCCTATTCCCATACAGGCCATACCTGATTGGTAAGGCTGATAGCGTTGTCGTACTCCTGGAATCCTTCGAGACAACGGTAGCCCGTATGACTTTTGATGCCACTCGGGGCAATTCGGCCACTTTGAAAGTGATTGGCCCAAACTCGGCGCAAAAATATGTAACACCCTAACAGGGGATATGATCCTGTCCGATCCGGGGGACACAGTGCCTCTTGCTCAAGAGCAGATGGCCACGGTCACATGCAGTCCGGGTGCCACTATGTATCATCCTTCAGCAAGGTCTGGGCAGCATGTGTGTAAGTCGTCGAGCTCAAACCTGCGCGGGGCAGAACGAAGACTGAATCCACTGAAGTATTGGGAGACTACTGGAAATGGAGCTGGTTCGGGTTTTCGAGGTGGCTCGGCGACCTGCCAACATCACGAGATTTCCAGCTTCTTCCGCCATGGACGATCATGAGATTCCATTCACTCATCAAATCAGACTGATTCTACTAAGAATCAGTTCTTGGCCAGTATTTCACGTTTTTAACTGCTTTCTGCTGGTAATTTTTGGTGTCTGTATCTGCACCTACATCTTCACATCATGCCGTTTCTACCTTAACAGCAAGAAGAACCGCCAATTTCGAGGAAATGAGCCGCCTACTTTGGCATATTGGTTGCCATGGGTTGGTAATGGCATTCAGATGATCAGAGATCCTCATAAGTTCTATGAGGAAACACTGTACGTTGCTTTTCAAGTACTATATGTTGACTTTATGGCCGTTATGCTAATCGAGGTTGCCGTAACAAAAGTGCCAAAAGACCAACAAAAGGACCAGTAACTATGCGCCTAGGTCCCATTTCCATGTACCTCGTTATGGGCGCCTCGAACATCCAAGCAATTTTTCGACAGTCTAGCAGTCTTTCGTTCGAGTTTATGCAGCTGCGGATCGCACACAAGGTCAAAGGTCTTCCAGCCAGCGATGTCGCCCTTCTGGGGATGGACGACTCAGGGGCTGGCACTCTCAACCAGTCTGAGACCGGAGTCGTGGGGAAAGGGCGCATTTGGCACATACTCCATGGGATATACCTCAAGAACCTTACAGAAAAGTCTGCCGTAGACTTTCTGACGGCCAAATTTGTCTTCGAGTTTTCCGAACAGCTCAAGACTTGTCCAGAGGGCGCATCAGCCCCAGCGGTTGTCGGCTTATACGATTTCCTACAGACGTACCAATTCGCTGCATCGACAATCACTTTGGTCGGTCCGCGAATTCTCCAAAAGGGCTCGTTGGAAGCCAAGACATTCTGGGACTACGATGCTGCCTTCATGACACTCATGCAAGGGCTACCAAAGCTAGTGTGTCGCAAAGGCTGGGCAGCGCGCGACCGCACTCTTGAAGCCACCAAAGACTGGCTCGCGGCAGCAACTGCTGGTTGTCCTCTAGACAGCGATGCTGACTGGGAAGAGAACTTTGGTCACAGGCTCGTGCGTGAGCGGAATGCTGCACTCGCCGACTACGGTATCAGCTTCGAAGGACGTGCGGCAATGCATATGGGCCTGATTTGGGCGTGAGTGCTGTCTCTCCTAATCTCTTCTAATCTCCGATATTTATCTGTTGTTTTCCTCCATCGTCATCTGCTAATTTCTACTGGTGAATAGCATCAATGCTAACGCCGTTCCTATGACCGCCTACATGTTATTCGAGATGGTCCAAGACCCGCAACTCCTCCCAAGAATCCGCGCCGAGGTCAAGACCGCCTTAGTCGTGGGTACGAATTCGACATCGGTATTCGATATCGATATCACGAAGCTAGCGGCTCTGCCTTTGCTGAATTCCGTTTACAACGAGTGCCTGCGTCTGCGCTCGAGCATTCCCATCTCGCGGCGTCTGCGGCAAGACATCGAGATTGACGGATACACACTCAAGAAGGACAACTTCATCCTGGCACCCAGTTGGCTATCACACATCGACGAGGCAGTATGGGCGTTCCCAGGCCACCCAGCACGCACCTTTTGGGCCGAGCGTTTCTTGCAGCCAGAAATGCGCAAAGTCAAGCTGGGCGACTACTGTCCGTACGGTGGTGGGAGCGTCATCTGCCCTGGTAGGTTCTTCGCCAAGCATGAGATTCTAGCGGCGGTTGCGATGATGGTCACCACTTTTGACATGGAGTTCGTGCGCTGGTCGCGTTTAGATGGGTCACCGGCGGACAGAGGTCCGGGCATGGAGGGGGCGGAGTGTCGAGGTGTTGTAAGTCTCGATAGAGATGCTACGGTGAAGATGCAGAAGCGGAAATTGCTATGAAAGCCTTGTCGTGTTACTTGAGTGTAAGTGGTTGGCTATCTGATTATCAAACATACATGTATTCTCTCGATGTAGAATCCGAATTACCAAAAACGAGAGCGACTTATTCCATGGTCCGCCGATGCGTCGTCTAATACATCAAAGATACAGGATGACAGCGATGATGCTATCGAAGTACACTCAGGGTTGCCCCTTGTTTCCGTGACTCCTCGGTTTCAATTGTCTTTGCCCATGTATCATCTTCCATCTCCTTTTGAGAAAGCAGCACATCAAACAAACTTTAGAATGCTCCGATAATTTAAGGTTACGGCAGTCCTAGCGTCCGGCCGTCTCAGCTTCTGACTTTACCATCCGGTCATAACTAACAGATCGTCGACTCCATGAACTTAAAAGCTAGCATGCTCCCATGCCCCTCTTCTACGGACGAACAGATGGGATCGGTGTATTGTGTCATTCGCTTTAGTTCTCACCTTCTTTATCCGAGGTTCGTGGCAAGATGGTCCGAAATGTCTTCAATCGCAACGCCAAACATGCACAGGCGCAAGCGGCTCAGTCTGAGGCCCCGGAATTTGAACCAGTCACATGGTGGAAGGAACCTGGTCTGAGGAAGTTGTACTTCTGGTGTGGTGTCTTGATGATGATGTCTGCATCGACAGGCTTCGATGCGTAAGCTCCCTCTCTTGCACATTGAGTCCAGAACCTCAGTGCACAATAAGATACTAACGACGAAGGCATGCAGGAAGCTTATGAACACTTCGCAAGTCATGGATCAGTGGCAGAGCTCCTTCAATCATCCTGCAGGGGGAAGACTCGGGCTCATCGTCGCCATTCTCGACGTCGGATCTCTTTCCAGTTTTTGGATGGTGTGAGTGTGACCACAAGACTCTAGCTGCCATCCGTTGCAAGACTTCTGCTGAACCTGAATTCACATAGTCCATATTTTGCAGACAAGTACGGTCGAAAGATGCCTATCATTATCGGTTGCGTCATAGAGACCATTGGGGCTTTCATAGGAGCTTTGTCAAACAGCGAAGGAAGTAAGTCTGCCTTTTGAGATGCAGGTACCGTTGATTAGTCCTAGTTCTGATTCTTGCATGAAGTGTATATGGCCGGACGCTTCACCCTCGGCTTCGGAAGCTCATTCAACGGCGCCGGTCTCCTGATAGCCGAGATCGCGCACCCCCAGCACCGGGCCAAGATCTCCGCCATTGTCAACTGCATGTACGGAGTTGGATCGACCAGCTGCTCTTGGCTAGCCCTAGCGACTATCCGAATCATGGGCGACTGGTCGTGGAGGTCGCTCACCATACTTCAGGCGTTCCCTGGCATTTTGGTTCTCTCGCTCATCTACTGGATCCCGGAGTCACCTCGCTGGCTAGTCGCCAAGGAACGTTACGAGGACGCTGAAAACATGCTATCCACATACCACGGCAATGGGGATAAGACAAATGAAACAGTGGTATTTGAATTTCGAGAGATGAAACAGACTTTGGCTCTTGAGTTCCAGGATAAAAAGTCCAGCAGCTATTTCGACTTTGTTCTGACTGCGGGCAATAGGTATAGGGTTTTTTTGTTGATCTCACTGGCGATGGTGTCTCAATACAGTGGTACAAACCTCTTCTCCAACTACGCCAACAAGATTTATGAGGGAGCTGGCATTCGAGATCAGACAAACAAAGTTTTGGTGAGTATCTAGCTATCTCACTTAGCATACACTTCCATCTTGAAGCATTCTGACGACTCATTTCCAAATCGAACAGCTCAGTGGCGGCCAGACGCTCTTGTCTCTCTTCGTTTCGGTATCCTTCTCATTGTGCATAGATCGCTTCGGTAGAAGACCACTATTCCTCACAGCCACTACGGGAATGGTACTCATGTACATGGGATGGACCATCATCAGCTCCCAGTTCGAGCGGACTCACGACCTTGCCCGATTTGGCTACCCTCAAATCGCCTTCATCTGGCTCTTCAGTCTCTCGTATCAGATCGCGTGGACCGGGGTCATGGCAGCCTACGCGTTGGAGATCATGCCATATAGTCTCAGGGCAAAGGCCGGCGTCATATCAACTATTTTTGTCAAGGGTTTGATCGTCCTAGGAAGGTGAGATCACGTAATGAGTGAGGTTCCCAAGCTCATATTCAATGCTAATGCGACGTGTTCTTCAGCTACACCAATCCCATTGCGTGGGATAACTTCACAGCAGCCGGTCATGCATGGACACTGGCTATGTTTTACACCGTAAGTGACCCTCGCCTTGTGGTCAACTTCCTACATTGCCTCAACTGATTTGTCTGTAAGATCCTGGACTTCTGCTATCTCTTGTTCGTATATTTCTACTACCCAGAAACAAAGAACCTCACTCTGGAAGAAGTTGCCAAAGTCTTCGACGGCGATGAGGCAAAGGTTGCAAGGATGGATATGGAGGACGTCAAGAATCAGGTGGAAGAAGATAAGAAGAGGCAGAGTCACGTCGAAGTCATCGCCCTATGACTGATCAAGAACCTTGAGGAGATTGATAAAGAGTCGTGATCAAGGTTTGGATGGCTTAATCCAGTAGAGAGTACTTTTCTATTAAGGAGAAGGTTAGGAAGGTTTTCAGAGTGGGAGGGGCAACGGCCATTTTGTGCATCACGGCCCGCGAAAGTGTCCGAGATCTCCGGGAATCGAGGAAACTGAACAAAGACCCAAATTAGTCGACTAAGCTCAAGCGTAAGGTTACATTACGGCCATAAGATCAAAAGATAGCTTAGAGCTCGCAACGGGCATTGCGTCCCTTACTAGTTACATTCCTCGATCCGGTCCAGGCCTGCCTGTGACGATTCGGGCCGTGGCCTGGACCATAGCGGGATGAAATACTCTCATAACCCCGAGGAATGTTCCGGCCTCTGCGAGGTGACGAAGGACCCTTACTGACAGCATCGCAAAAGGAAATACGTCTTCATTAGCCTCGATCCTCGATTACCTAATCGCTCGGGAACCCGATAGCCGAGGAAGCCATTCTTCAGTCACACAATAACCGTGCAACCGCAAACGGTCATGCGAGTATCTCGCC